TAAAACCAGAACCAAAGCAAAGCAGAAAAGCCCTGTTAACAATATTCTAAACCCTTCTTTTCAGGAGGATATTGAAGGGCTTATTTATAACCACTGCTAGAATTCCTACAACAGCGATCCATCTTCTTTGTATGACTACAGAAAGAGATTCCAATAATTTCAGGAAATAATCCTATTAAAAAAAAAAAAAAAAAGAAAAAAAGTCTTAGTTGTCATATCTGACCAGTTAAAATATAATACACTATTTTACCATACATCATTGTGAGACAATTATGCTTATGAAACAAAGCTTCATGCTTATGAACCACCTTTACCATGACAATACCAAAACACTTATCCAAGTACATTGTATCACCGACTGATTTGGTTTAAGCACATAGAATTAAAAAGTAAATTTAAAAAATTGTTAAAGATTTTACTTAGAGACAATGCAAGGCCTACAAGACATTTTGTGACAAAATGGGTCCTAATAAAAGTTTATTTTTAATGACTAATACCTTATTTAGAACTACAATATGGCATTTAAAATCTAATTAGTTTATTCCTTTCCCCACCGACAGAGGGAAAAAAGAGATAAACTAGCAACTGAGAAGAAAATAATGCAATATAAATTGGTACAGAACTGGTAGAAAAGAGTACTGTGTTCATTCTGCTAAGAGTGCATTTATATTGGTCATATCTAAAGGGTACAAAAAGACAAGCAAAATGTGTAGTCTGAATTAATTACAGTAAAATTGCATTGAGGCAAGAAATCTTTGGAAGTGTACATTCATTTGAATAATAAATTTGAATTTGAATAAGAGGAAAAAATCTTAACGGGGTGAAGAAGAAAAAAAGCAGGCACAAAAGGGATGCAAAAAACTTCCTGCCACGAACGACCAAGGAAATTATCCTGTCTGAGTTTTCTATTGGTTGGATCTAGCAGGTTCACATTGAAAGGAGCCTGGGACTGAACCAATGCCTGCACTCTGGGGCCCCTCAATGGAGAAGGTGCCAGAAAAGGCTTCAGCTCCCAGTTTACAAATTAATCCTGGTATTATTGCCTAAGTGGCTGTAGAATTATTAGAAGCAACCAGAAATCCTCAAAACCAGTTTTCAAAATGCTCAGGATGCTTTTTGTTGGCTATATAAAGAGCATAAACAACTCTGAGACACAATCATGGATTCCAGATGCAATATAAGGAATAAAATGGGCAACAGAAAAGCTGAAGAGGAACATGTATGAATTTCTCAGGAGTTCAGGGTTATAAGAGGCAAGTGTACTTCACAACTGAAGGTAGCCCATAGGCTCCAGTCCTCTGGAGCTTATACCTAGGCTGGGCTCCTTTCAGGGACACTGAGTCTGAATGTGAAGAAATGTCTTGTTATTCTATCTTTCGATTTTGAGGGAACCTGTTACCGATACCTGACCATGGCATCCAGATAAAGCCCTGGATTTCTTGAAGGGGCTAATATGCTGTCAAGGGTTTGCTTTATGTTTTGTATAGGTGCCCACAGAAAAAGCAGGTCATACGACACATAGGCACAGAAAAGCTGTTGGATCCTTTAGCCCTGAGATAGACCACCTTCCATTTTTCAGACTTGAACTTACACAGCTTGATAGTGTCCCGGGAGATGGCCTCATAAAACAACTTAGGATTTTTTTTCTCAGAAGGAAGCTGATCATTCAGGCATAATCCCTGAAAATATTAAGAACTCTATGGGGTTTTTTTTGTTTTGTTTTGTTGTTAGGGTTTTTTTTTGTTTGTTTGTTTGGTCTGTGGTCTTTTTTGGAGGGGAAGGGGGTGTCATTGCTCTTTTTTAAAGTGCTCAAACAACAGTATCTAACTTGTAGCATGAGCCACAGAGATTCCCCAGAAACAACTGGGATATTTCACAGCCCAGTATACAGTTTTTGAAGGGTAGGGCTATGCTGGCAGATTAACATTTACATGGCACATGACAGCACAGTGAGAAGTCACAGTGTAACCCAAAAGTTGTGTGGAAAACAATGACTAGGCTGCTATGAGCCAGCTGAGTACAGTTGGATCCATGCCATCAGTATGAGCTATTCCCAACTCTGACCTTGAGTTTCTTTATTGAGAAAGCTATTTAGCTTTTGTCACAGCTGAGTAGGAATCCAAAAAAAGACATAAGCAACATGGCTAGTGAGGGGTAGATGTGGTGTGGGGACAGGTGAGAGAAGAGAAGGTGAACTCAAGAAGGTGAACTCAGCTGTTTACATGATGGTATAGATGCCACAGACCTGAACTTATCAACATGTCAGCTCATTGCAAACATGTTGGTTCATTACAAACCCAAATACTTTGGATTTACATATCCATGTATATTATGGATTATGTTAACAAGTATAGAATTTGTTAACAAATATATACTTTTAAGAAAATTACTGAATTTTCCAGGGATTTTAATTAAACTTGCTAATGTATCCAGGACAATAATTTGCACTACATTATCTCAAATTCATACATACAACAGTTCAAGGAAGTAGAAGAGATTTGTTACGTAAAATACAAACTGGTAGCAAACAGCACCTCTGAGAATGGCTTTTCACAAAAGATTTCCTGATTAGCTACAGATCTTCATAATGACCACCCCAAAAAAAAAAAAAAAACATCCAAACCAAAAAAAAAAAAAAAAAAAAAAACAAAAAACAAAAACAACAAAAAAAAAAACAAAAAAAAAAAACAAGGAGGCAAAAGCTCAGGAATTACTTGAAAATGCAGATCTCACCTTGTTTCATATATACAAGATTTTTACCAGCAGCAGCTCCACAGGTAACTTCCAGAGAGCTCTCAACTCCTATGAACAACTAGCTAAACATTTATTTTTAACCATCATTATTTTTTCCAATACTACAACAGCACCTGGAAGTCCAGATTGGCACACCATTTTTATGCAAGAGATGGCTACCAAAGTATCATTTGCAAGATCTCTGGTAACAACTCCCGTAAAAATTTCTACATACATAAAATATGTAAAATTAGTTTTAGACAGTAGTACAGTGGTAGGGTTGATGAGCCACAAGAAGAAGGAAGATTCTGCACAATAAAGGGCAGGAAGAAAAAGGAAGAGTGAAAACCAAAGGGAAAGATATAGATTACATAATCCTACCCCAAAGCAGGCTAGGATACCTTTTCTTTTTCTTAATCAAATCTATACCCTGACTAGCCTGTGCTTACAATATTCTGCTTATTGTAAATCACTCATACAACACAAGCCTAGTGCTGGACATAAATCCACTACAGTTCACTACAGCTGTCTCACAATAGCTAAGATTCAAGGTGCTAAAATAGACCAGAATAAAACTCTGACTTAAAAAACAAACAAACAAACAAACAAACAACTAAGAGAAAGGGAGGTAAAAAAAAAACAGGAAGGAAATCAAGGAAGGAAGGAGTTAAACAAAAAATAAACTACCGAATGAAGAGATTAATTTGATGTTCAACATTTTTTCCTCTCATTTCTGCAGTAAATATTTCAATGATACATTTCAGGGTACACACAGTAATTTCTATTCCAGTTTCATGTATCCCAGTTTGTATCCCATCATATCTCAAGTCATTTTCCACATGAGAGGCAGTAGACATTCCAGACACTAAAAGCAGTGAATCTGCAGGCCCATAGATTCTTCTGACTGGGTTGGCTAAAAGTTAAAGTTCAATTCAGTTCTCCAAGGACTAGGAGGATATCAAGTCTGTAGGGAATACTGCCTTTACTGCTAGTCCCGGCTGGTCAGGGTCTACTTAGCTATACTGGTTGTAAAGGTGAGTTCAGTATGGAGAGCTTGAATCCAACTCTCCACTACCCATGTCGGATGGCACAATTTGCCAGAGAATGGTAAGCTATACTGCAAAATTCTTACAGAAGTTTCTTGACACAGTGATTTCTATCCCATATAGAAGCAACACTCCCACCCCCTTAAACCAAGAACTTTGTGTGTTCTGTTCAGATACACTAGCTGTTTCAGGCTGGGAATTGTTCTTTTGATTTCAGAATTCCTTCTTACCCAGCAATTCCTGCAGTGCTTATTTCCCACTTTTCCAATGCTTCCACTTGAGAATATTTCCCCTAATTAAAATCCCTTCTAAGTTAAAATAATTTTCTTAGTGACTCATTCTTAGAACCTCTAGGATAAGGTCGCTAAACATCTTCTCTGTACTCATCATCTAAGTTTCACACTGCCAAGCCCAGTAAAATTTTGGCTTCCTTGGAATCCTTATCTCCTTAGTCTCTTCACCTTCCCAAAACCTGACTTTGACCACTTACAGGACACATTTTCTCCTTTGTTGCCCAACAGTCCTTTCCTACTCCTTTCTCCTCTTCAGTTATCCCATTGGCATTCACTCCTCCTGAACATCCTTCCTGCAAAATTTATCATTCATCTTCCCAATGCACACATCACCCTTCTCCTCTGTCTTGGTCAGTTTCCCTCTTTTCCTCCCGGATCCCTTTTTCTGCTCCTGAACTGAGAAACCTTATTCTCACGATCTACTCCGGCACCCGCCCCCCAGCTCCTTTTGTGCTCTTCACCACATCTGCCCTGCCCCGGCTCCTACCACACATCCTGAAGCCTCCCTCGCCCGTCCGTCCCACCCTGAAGTGCCGGCCGGCCCCAAACTCCATCCCCGGCAGCGAGCGAGGCGCGGCGGCGCCAGCCCAGCCCAGCCCAGCCCAGCCCGGAGCCGGGTCGCTCCGATGAAGCGCAGAGCTTTAGGGTCGGGGCGCCCTCCGGAGGCACCGCCGGGCCCTGCGCTGCCCTGCGCTGCCTGGCAGAGCCGGGGACACCCGGCAGGGACGCGGTGCGGTGAGGGCCCGGGCAGCCGGGGCGCTTCCCACAGCCGGGGAGCGCAGCCCGCCCGCGGCTGCTCCATGTCCGCTCGGCGGCCGGGGCGGAGAGAGGGAGGGTACAGCTCGTCTCCCGCCCCCTGCTCGCCTTCGCCTTCGCCTTCTCCTCCTCCTCCTCCTCCTCCTCCTCCTCCTCCTCCTCCTGGCGCCCGCCCTCTGTTCCTCCTTCCCTCCTTGCAGCGCCGGCGAGACCGCGAGAGCGGCGCCCGCCCCGCCAGGGCGAGGGAAGGCGGCAGCCCGCGGGCGGGAAGCTGGATGAGGACGTGGTGCGGGCAAGGCAGCCCCTCGGGCATGAAGGGGACCGCGGGGACGCTGCCCTGCCCTGCAGCCGAGCGGGGACATCAGGTAAGCGCCCCACACGCCTGCCCGGCCCGACCGGAGCCGGCACTTTTAGTGCCGGGAGAGGGCAAGCGTCCCCTGGAAAGTTGTCCTGCCGCCGCCGCCGAGGGGCGCGGGGCAGGGCCGGCGGCGGGCGGCAGCCGCGCCGCAGGCGGCACATCGGGGCGTGCGGCAGCGCCCGCCCGGGGCTCGGTGCCCCGGCGCGGCGCCCCAGGCTGTGCCTCCCCGCCGGGCGTCCCGCGGCCCCAGCGGCTCGGCACCGGTGCCAGCGGAAAGTTTCCAGCGGGGTGAGGGCAGAAGGAAGCGGGAGAGGATCACCGCGGGACGGGAGCGTGGCGAGGGAGAAGCAGCCCGTCTGTGCTGCCGTGGGCAGAGGGTGCTGCAGCTTCTTCTCCCTGCGGTGCTGCCAGCAGGTCGCTCAACTTGTTCCGTTGTTTTCACTCTGGTTTGTTGCAGAGGAGTAGGATCAAGTATCCCTTTTGCAAGTGTAATGTTGACATCTTTGATGGCTACATCTTACTCTTCTGTGAAATTTACCTACCTGTTTGTGTCAGTTTAGATATGTTTAGGAAAAACAAACTGCAAAGTCTTACCAGAAAAAGGCGCACAGCAGTACGCCTGAGACTTCGGTAGGTTGTTATGCTGTCTGACTTAACAGTAAATGCAACTACTGCTCTTTTTGATTCACATTTCATTGGGGCTTTTTAACTGAACATTTGTGGATTAAGCAGAAACTGAGTAAAATGTATGAATCATCATAACGCTGCTGGAGATCAAATCCCAGTTTAAACGTTTTGCAAGTTTTCTTCCCCCTTTGCTCATGCATATAAAGGACAGACTCAAGTAGTTTGCTTAGCTCTTCGGAAGTAACCTAAAGAATCAAAAGTGGGCACAGTTCCACAGAGAGGTTGTAGGTACCTTTGCTGCAAAGCAAAAAACACTTTAAAGAAAAATAACTAATCAACAAATCTGTATCTTGGGAAACCTCCTTCCCTCCCAGCCTTAACAAAGATGTGTACATTGTGTACTGCACTGTGAGTGTAAAGATTCAAGCCATTTCAAGTGAGGCAGTTTCCCCTTACAGGGGATGTTCTGCACTAACTCGCTTGGTTAATCAGAGGTAGTCTACCTTAACTATCAGCTGCAGTTCTGTTTCACTTACAAATTTTCAAATACTGAGGTAATTCCACAATATTTATTGCAAAATCTAAAAGAAAAACTTAAGTAAAATTACCTAATTTCATTAGATCAAAGACATATGAGTAGCTTTTTTGGTTTGGAGGTTTATTTTCTTGGTTTTGAGGGTTTGGTTGGTTGGTTGGTTGGTTTTTAGTGTAAAAAAATTTGAAACCAGATTTGGGGGAGCATTCAAAAGTAGCCTAGATTTCACAGCATACATCTGTTGCTGCAGGTAATACCTGACTGTTGAACACTGATAAGGCACCATACTTCAGGTGATTTTCAAGTTGGGACTTTTCTTAATAGGCACATGGATATATCTCTTAAGAAAGTCTATCACAGTTAATGACCCAATGCAGCTCTAAGACTTTTTTACATGTGCTCAGGCTTTTATTAGTGGACTTTTATATTGCACTATGCTGGGAGAGGACTGAGGAAATAGAATAATAGATATGTATAAAACTTAAAATGCTTCCCACTTTTCTGCATTTTGTTCACTGCTTTTGTTTTTGATTTTGTTTTTTTCTTTTGCAATGTCAGCTTCAAATACAAGAAGTTTGAGCTTTCATGCAAGCGACAGGTTTTATTAAACATATGATACAATTTTCTATTGCAAAATGTTCTGTAGTTCTTACTTCCTTGGAAAGATAAGATATGACTAGGGAATTATAATTTTTCTTGACAGCATGACAGTTAAAACTTGGTTTGCATAGGAGTGAGCATGTGTAGTGTATTAAAAGAAGATGTCATTCTGAACTGTCTGACAAACTTTTCAACGTGTTTCTTTTTTTTATGTGGAGGTGAATATATTGCTTGTAAAATCACTGCTAGGACGTAACTTAAGATGTAAGGATGAATTGATTTAGTGATGTTGGGTCAAACTTAGGATTTTTAGTATAGTTTTAATATTTAGAAGCCTATGGATTTAGTGCTCAGTTCTGTAATCAGATATTTGAATTAATTTTATTCATATCAGCATCTTAGTTGAATTCACACAGAAGTACTGGTACTTAAGCTGTGCAGGGGTAGAATATGGATAGAATAGACTGAAGCAGAATGCTTTGTTTGTTAATAATACGTCTGTTCTGATAACATGTCCAAATTGTATATAGGGATTGCTATCAAAAGCTGAGCTCATGTAAGTCAGAAGCTTAAACATGGTTGGGTGTCCAACAAATGTTCCTGTACAGAGTGCAAAATCCTAAGCAATGAAAATGCCCAGGTGAAGCAAGGGGGGCATAGAAAATGCCACTAAGGTATGGAAGTGTGGGAAGTTAAGTAAAGGGGGGAAATAAAAAAGGAGGAATTTAGGAATTGAGGGTTTGGGGTTTTATTTGCTGTGATTTTTTTCTTTGTTTGTTTTTGGGGGGCTTGTTTGCCTGGGTACATTTGCTCTAAAAACACAGTTACCTCTTTTGAAGGTAATACACACCTTGAGGATTTTGGGTAAAGGTGTACATGAAGAAACAGGTGAGGTATTTGCTTTTACCTGAAAACTGTGGTTGCATATGCAGCTTTTTTTCTTATAGTTCTCTTTGTAGACCTTCTACTGCTATATTTAAAGGCATTTCTTGAGCCATAATAGAAAACTTTTTACTTGGTTGTAAAACCCATCTGGTGTGGTTGGAGTAGATAATGCCATTGTAAAACTAGTTAACTGTGTTTAGTGTTTTTACAGAAGCAATAAACTGATAAAAAGTTGAATATACTGGCTAAACAGAACTGTGTCTTAGTTACAAGTTCTCAGACACTGAGAATTACATATGATAAACGTGTAAAAACACAGGGCTAGATTTAGAGAAAGGGTTCCTTCTGGTCACTACAAACAAGTAAAGTTCCTACAGAATGTGCATGCGAAGTGAAAGCTCATTCTGGGTGTTGATTTCCTCTCAACTGAAAAACTCCTGATTATTTAATTTTTGCTGTCTTTGTCAACTTTTTTAGACCTATAATAGTTAATATTTTCTGCTTAATTCCTCTAATTTCTTCCTTTATTCCATAGGTAGAGAATGTTCTGTACGGGAATTACAGCTGTAGCCTTACCAACAAGTAAACTATAAAGATTAGCTTCAGTTCAAGGTAGCATGTTGTCTTTTATGCAAGAATATGGCATTGCTGATCATTGTTACTCATGGTACTTCTAACCACAAAAATACCAGAGTAGCTACACACTGTGTGTCCTCATCCAGTATTTTCTCACTTGATTATCTTTAGTTAACTATTTACATTCTTTCATTGCATCTTATTTTCTCCTAGATCATGTTTACAGTTTAACATATTTTTTCTGAGTTTTAGTCCTGTATGCCGAGATTTCTAGTCCTGGCTTCTAGATCTCCTTAGCCTAATGTCATGCTTAGATGTAAAAACTATACTCAGTCACTTACTTCTCTTATTAATAGTGATTAATATCTATCAGAAAAGACTAGGGGAGCCTTGTCTTAATATGGTAATGTAACCTATTTTCTTAATTAACCAGTATAATGGGTTTCAGTCCATAGATATTATGAGTGTATAAATATGAGTATTATTGTCTTTTAGAAACTACTATGAAGTCCAAAGCAGGAGTAGTACGTATTTGTTTAAGAAAGGTTTTGTTGCAAAACATCACAGCTTTAAAGGAAAGAAAGTGTCTTTTAATTTAGAAATTTATTTTAATACAGTAGTTTTACTGAGCAACCAAATGCCTTTTCCTGAATGTCAGGTCAAAATACTCCTGGGCAGTGTCCCTTGCAATAGTATCATGTATACTATTTGTAATTAAAATTCTGTACACAAACCTCATAAAAATTAACAGGGTAATATAAGTGCTAGTTTTACTTTTTCGTTTTTGACAATTGTTTGTAGTAAATAACTTTAGTCACCAAAAATAGGTAATAATATGTCAAATTACTGAGCTGTTTGATTAACTGCTATGCTTTAAATAATTTCTAAGGGTCATTAAAGTTTCACATTTGTACATATTTTTGAAAACATTAGAGGAAAACTAAAATAGTGTTACAAAAACTGATTTTCTTTTAGAGGTGAATGGCATTGAAAACCTTAACAGTCTTTTGTGAAATTGCTGTAATATGAAATTTGTTGTTATATTTGCCTGTTTTTTACAAATATGTAGACTCAGGTTCAACAGAGTGATCCTGAACATCTAATTATTTTTTTTCCACTTCACTGAATTGACTCACTGTGATGTTCCAAATTAATATTTTTGTAGATACTGCTGTCAAGTCACATTACGTATATCAACCTCTGAAATTGAAGAATTGCTTTTGGAAACGTCAATATATCTGAGTCACATAAAAGTACCTAAATAAACTCCTTGCTTGTGGTTGTGCATTAAGCATTCTATACTTCTGAGAATATATTTATTTATCTGAAAACCTCATAACATCATGTCTGTATAAACCTGGAGAGATAACTTCTATTTGTTTTCCAAGAGTAGTACTCTGGAATTTGGATTTTTTATATTGAACACCCTTTCTGTTATCAAAGATACTGTAAAAACATGTTTTTCTATGTTGCAGAAAAGTAGATTGATTTTCAAATTGAAATTTAGAGGAAAAAGTTCCAGGACTCAAGAAATTGCACAATGTACACCGAAAACCCTGTTCATTAATCCAAAAATGACATAGTAACACAATAAGTTGATTCTAAACCAGCAATTTATTTGATGTCAGAAACAAAGAATTTTTGTCCATAACTATCTGTCAGTTTCCCCAAATTATTTATTTGCTAATGAGGAATTGTAAACTAATGTGCAGAATTATTTGAGAAAAATGTTGCATGTGAAAAATCATAGCATGATGCTGGTTCCCTAACTTGATTTTCTTGGA